CCCTGTGGGCACAGTTCTACTCTGACCACACGGTGGCACCATGAGTGGAATCTACTTATGAAACATCATCCACTGAGAACCCTGTGGGCACAGTTCTATTCTGACACACACATGGGGCACCATGAGTGGGATCTACTTATGAAAAACCATCCACTGAGACCCCTGTGGGCACAGTTCTACTCTGACACACATGGGGCGCCATGAGTGGGATCTACTTATGAAACATCATCCACTGAGAACCCTGTGGAGCGAGTTCTACTGTGATGGGCCACATGGGGATGCCCTAAGTCAGGGTTGACTTGATGACAATTATTTTTTTTAAAGCTTCATTTAAATACATAGCAATCTGAGGCCCAGCTTCATACCACTGAAAGATAAAGCAGGGATTTAAGCACCACTGAGTTGGATCTGACTCATAGTGACCCTGTATGGGGTCCCCAGGGAGCAGCTGCTGGGTTTGAATCGCCAACCTTGCGGTTAGCAGTCCAGTGCTTACCATTGTAATATATTGTTGTTGAATGCTGTTGAGTCTTTTCCGACTCATGACGACCCAGTATGGGGTCTCCAGGGAGTGAATGGTAGGTTTGAACTGTTGACCTTGTGGTTAGCAGTCCAGCGCTTATACTGTCATGGCACACCAGGACTCCACTGGCCCCTTAGGGACATCCCATTTCTAACAATAACTGTGTTGGAGCGGCTGAGGGGCCACCAGGCTGTGGGGCACCCGGAGCCAGGCTCTGCTCCCCTACTGATGCTGCTGTGCTAATCCACCTCCTGGTCTTCACTGACCCTCTACTTTACCATCCTTTACGAATCGGGCTGTGAACCGCAAGGTCAGCAGTTCGAAACTACCAGTGGTTCCACGGGAGAAAGATGAGGCGTTCTGCTCCCGTAAAGATTTACAGCCTCGGAAACCCTGTGCAGGGTCACTATGAGTCGGAATCGACTCCACGGCACTTAACAACAACAACAACAACCATCCACAAGGCCCTCCAAGTCTAGACTGCCTGTAAGTGTTTGAGACCCCGCTTGGCTCTGCCTTCTGGAAGTTTCTGCCCCGGCACAGCCAGCACACTTTTCACGGCATGAACACATTCCTTCACAAGCCATGTTTCTCGGGAGATCTTGCACACAAAGCCACAGAGACTCCATGATGCATGTGTGCACCATGAGGCTTCTCTTCCTCAGGGAGGCTTCCGGCCGAATCTCATGGCTCTGAAGACATGCTTTCGTGTTGTACTTTGCTCCCTGCTGCCTCCCCAATCCCAGTGCTCCTCTGAAGAAAGACTGTGTGATGGGTGAGCTCGTTGACTGGCTTTGAAGAGGGTGTTGGGGGGCCTACAGTTGAGGGTTCGGGCCTTTTTGGGTGGCCGAGGTATGACCAGCGGCTACTCGGAGGACCAGAGGCTACAGCTGGGAGGCCAGGGGTCAGGCATTACAGACAGGATTTGCCAAGGCTTCCCATGCTGCTCCTGTATACAACAGGGTGATGAAGAGCGTGTCTTTTCTTTGGTGCTGCCCACGCTAATGCAAGCAGGCACGTGGAGCCAGGGCTCTTGGTTTGGGGTGTGTGGACTGAGGACGTTAGCTGGGAGCACAGGCTGCCCACTGTCCACTTCACTGCGGGAGGTCTCGGCTGGTTCCACAGATACCTTGTCTGCTTTCTCCCCCTCCGGGTGATGGAATACGTCTCTGTCTCTCGTTGATCTCTTCCCCACTCGGCTGGGAGTCTTTCAGAGGCGCCCACGAACTGACACTTCCCACGGGCCCAGCGTCTTGGAGAAGGTGTGGAACCCAGAGCCTGCTCACCAGGCAACGGCATTTAGAATAATTATGGTTCGTTCAGTTAACAGCCATCCATAAGCCAACAGAGAACACAGTGAACCAGGGTGCTGGTGAGGCCCCGGCGCCTCCGTGTGGATGCTGCGGAGGCCTGGACACTCACCAGTGGGCACCGCGTGACCTCTGCAGTCCCCACCCTCACATCCTCAGGCGGCCCCTCACACCCGCACTGACAAGTCTGGAGCTACCACAGACGATAGCAGTGCAGCCGAGCCTGTTTTGTCCTGCTGTATACACATACTGCCCCTGTCACTACAAACGTGGTGCTACTGGGTTGACCCTGACCCGTGGTCAC